CCGAACGAGAACAAATAAGTCTCTCTCTCTCTCTCTCTCTCTCTCTCTCTCCAACACACACAGCAGAGATGCATGCAGCAGAGAGAGGGGTCTTTTGATCGCAGCACTGAATTGTCCGCCTATACTCGACGGCTCTTAGATTGCCGTCAAACCAATTGAGTTGCTAGTTCAGGTATGCTCAGCCGTACATTTTACATCTGGAGTTTGGTAAGGTGGATCTCCTTTTGTTTCTCATACTTCCATCATATTTTTTGTATGAGAAGTAGCATGGAATCTGTTGTAAAATGAAATTCTCTTACATGTCTGTGTGTCTAAATCTAGCTTTGCCTAGTCAATTTCCCCTGTAAATATGTAGTTGCCACTGTAATATCAGATTTGAATAGCATGTGAGCTCATTAAGGATGAGTATTTGGGCCTTTTGAGGGCAATTGGCTTGGCCCCATAGAACTCCTGACATTCTTGAAAAACAAAGGTTTTTGGCCGAGTAGGGGAACTCAGCTGAAAAGTCCTCTTCTAGACATTTCTGTTAGGGGTCGCGGATGGGTACCAGTGAAGCATTAAGAGAGTGAAGATATCTCGAAAAATCTATACAAGCCCGTGCTAGTTTAGCAAAAAAAGAACATCCTCAAGCTGCTACAAGATGAAAGGCAAGACAGTTTTGGTGAATCCTTTTCCATTAGCATACTTACAGAGCTCTTAGAGCTAAAAAGGGCCTTGGAGCCAATGGCATGATGCATTATATGCCAATATCAATGTTTAAAAATTCAGTGATCTGGATCATGAATCATTGATTTGGATTGGAAATCGGTCCAAATTGACCTAGTTCCTTGCCTAAGGAATCGGAACTGGTGAGTCTGTTAGGGAATCGGGTGATCTGGATTGGCCTAATTGCGTCATTTCCACACTACATTTTTTTTCTATTATCTTTATTATTATTATTATTATTATTATTATTATTATTATTATTTAAAATTTTAATTGTTTTGGACTGCTTCCTAGAGAATGGATCCGATTTGCTGATCCCAATCGGCAATTGCTGATCGTGATCGTGACTGGTTTTATGGATGACCGGTCTGCTTGGCCAATCCATGTTTTAAAACACTGGGCAAGGCGATTGAATGGCCATTGATATCCTCAAGTTCCACTGAGCCCACTGTCTAGAAAAAGTTCTCGGGGCAGTTATAGTTTTAAATACCATAGACGGATTTTAATTATCACTGTATTTTAAATGTCATCAACGTTTCTAATGTCGGCTGCCAATCGGTAACATGAAAGGAGTGATCTCGAATATTTGGAGAGAGAGAGAGATCCGATGTTTGGCTTACATATCCGGATTTCACTGTAAAAGTTGAGCGTGTAATTCTGAAAATACTCATATTGGGATATGAACTTTTTCCCTTCTCATAATAGGACCCACTTAAGTTGATAATACTAGGGCGGTAAGGAGTCGTTTGTATTTCGCAATTAAAGGAGTTTTTGCAAAGGGGTAACTGGCGCCACCCAGAAGGAAAATGTTTTGAATAGGGTTGTACCCCTAACAAAATAAGTGCGAAAATGGTAGTTTTGGTGTTAGAAAATATTTAAATTGATCATTTTGGCCTTGACTATTATGGTTGCGAAAAAAAATTAGGATTTCAAGCTTTACAAATAATATGTATTATAATATATTATCTAGATCAGTCTAGTTCACCCAAAAAATAAGTGTTTATAGTTATGTAAGATTTTTACATTTTTTGAGCTTCAAATTTTATAGTTGGTGTTGGAAATGGATTTTACAACCATCATGGAGATTTCTGATTCCCCAAGTGCTTTCCGGACGAGGATTGAGGTGAGCGTTTATTTTGTTTTCATAAAGCCTAAGCCTTATAGAAATTGCATCTTTGAATGTAACTTCATAGCTTCATATTTTAATAGATGTCATAGCTTCAGTCTTAATGCCACACCTAAAGCTATTTTATTTTTTAAGTTTTTATATAAAATCATTTGGACATGGATAAAATAAAATCCTAAAGCTATTTTATATTTTAAATTTTTATATAAAATCATTCGGATATTGATAAAATAAAATGATCAAAATACTCTTTAAGTTTTAAAAGGATTTTGGTCAAACTTTTGATTCCTTTATTGCATTAGGTCTGCTCCATGGGCATGGCCCGGATTTCATGCCAAAATAATTGGTAAGATGGAAATTAAAGTAAAATACTATGAGCCATCCAGTTGAGATGGGATACTCAAAGATTACTTTATTATATTATGACTAAAGCTATCGTACCCATCTAACAATCATATATGAGCATGTATATTATGTTCCCTTCGAGGATAGTTTACTTCTCCTTTCGTCAGAAGATTTAGGAGGATTTTTTCAATATGAAATTTTGGGAACTACTTAAGAATTAGTAGCTGATTATTTATTTATTTTTATTTATTTTTTGAGTTTTCTAACATTTAGATCTCACCATCTAAATTGCAAAATTTATATTTAATCTCGAGATATTATTTTTTTCAAAATACATAAAAGGTCCAATTAGGAAAATTTGTTCATTGCATATGTGGGTTGAAGCGGCTACATCCCCAAAAATTTGGTGTCTTCAAGTTAATTGTAAGTGGGGTTTTCCTTAGTGGAGTAAACGTACATTCTACTCCCGGGTAAGTGGACTATCTTTTGGCATCATATATATGGGGAATGATATCATGCTATGGTTGTATAGTAGTATAATGCAACCGTCTTCAAAATTTATGTTAGAGACATTTGTTTGACACAAATTTTTAAATGTACGTTCTTTTAACTCTAAGGAACAATCACAAAAAAGAAAATTTTGAAAAAATGTCTTAGAAAGTGTTTTTTTAGCCCAATTAATATAAGCCGTCCATTTTTAGTGAGATGGTTAGATATAGGCTTCATAAGGATTTTTTTATTTCCAAAATTTTTATATAGCGTTATTATCATAAGATTAACAATGCTAGAAAAGAAAAAAGTGATTTTGAATTTGTCAAGACCTAGATCTTGAAATTCACCAAATGGACTGTCAAGATTTATTGTTGGAGGGTATTAATTTTGACAATATCTAGGTTACAAACTGATTTTTTTTTGTTTTTTTTTGTAAGATTGATTATGAGGATGAAAAGAATGTGAGCAAAATTTGGGGTCATACAAATGCCAAAAACATGGTTTTCTAGAGGTGTTGTTGCATTATACTATTATACAACGTTTTCATGAAATCATTCCTTTATATATATTTATTTATTTGAAAAATAACATAATTTATTATTAATAAGAAAAGCTACCCAAACGGGATTATATCATTTGAAATTGAAAGGGAAGATAAAGTTGCACCCCATTTGGCTAGGGAGTCAGCTAGGCAGTTTGCTTCCCTAAAAACATGCTGAAAATTCGCAGAAATGCCTATCCGGAGATGGAGGATTTGAAGCTAGAGAGATTTGAGCTCCTTATCACTTTTTTACACCACTTAATATATATTGAATCTTGAACTTCATTTGTTTCGACCTACTTAGTTTGACAACCCAAAAGTACTGCCATGTTAAAAGAGGAACAAACCCAATCAGGAGTGAGAAACAATGCAGCTTGATCTACTGGTAATCCACGGGTTCTCTCCTACCCTGATTAATGATAGGATGCCTGCTAAAACATCTCCAACTCTGCAGGATAGGAAAACGTGTTTTTACTCCCTCGGGAGTATAGTTTATTTTTACTCCCTTGGTCTAATGACCAACTTGAGAGGTTTCTTTCAATCTGAAATTATGGTAACTATATTAGAATCATCTAATGATCACTCTCAAAAAAATAAAATAAAAATTGAAGTTCAAATTTTATAATACTTAGATCACACACTCTAAAAATTGGACGGTTTCTATTCAATCTTGAGACAGTATTTTGTTCAAGTGCTTAGAAGGTGCAATTAGAAAAACCTTTTTTTATTAAGGTTAACATATGTTTTAAATAGGATCTATGTTTTGGGGTCTTAAAACTAATTATACGTGGGGTTTTATCCAAAGGAGTAAATAGACAATGTACTCCCAAGGGAGTAAAATATCTTTTGGCTTTATATATTGCTATGTAGCTCCCTTTCTCGACTTGTTGATCCCAACAAGCCCAAAGCTACAATCTTTGCATTTTCATATTCGAGCACGTATATTATGCTCCCTCTTAGCATAGTTTATTTCTACTCCTTGGGTCAGATGACCTGTTTGGGAGGATTTGTTCAATTTGAAATTTTGGTAACCGCCATAAAATCATTATATGATTATTATAAATAAAACAAGAAAAAAAAAAAAAAAATTGAAACCTGAGTTTTCTAACACGTAGATCTCACCCTTTAAAAATTGGACGGTTTTTATTCAACCTTGAGAAATTATTTTTTTCAAGCGCTTAACGGTTAGAATTATAAACTTTTTCAAATGAAGTTAATCAACGTGTTAAAGAGGTTATATTTCCAAAATTTGGGGGCCTAAAACTAATCCTAGTTGGGGTTGGATAAAAGTTTTATCCAAGGGAGTAAATGGATAGTATACTCCAGATGGAGTAGAATATCTTTTGGCTTTAGAGTAATAAATTCATTTTGAGCAACCAGAAAGACCCTTAAAAGTTAGTGAAGTGGGCGTGCTTGCTTCGTGGCAGAAAGGGTTGTCAAATATGCAAGACCTGTTTTTGCATACACTTTTGGAAGCTGCCACTTCCACTGTGACGTAGAATAATAACTCCAATAAAATAGTTTCAATTTGATATTTTTTTTTGGAAGTCATTGGAAACGACGACTTCTAAAACAATGTCAAATTCTCCACAACAAACACTGAAAGTGTTACAGTTGAACACTGAAAGTGTTACAGTTGTAGAAGCCACGGCTTTCACGAAACTTTTATAGAGTTTCGTGAGCAGTTTGTCCCATTGAGGAGTGGTATCATTGCTTAAAAGCCAAAATTTAAAAGGGCAAATATAGGACAAGGAAAAGATAATAGGGGTTTTTAATAATAAAAGAGGTTTTGGTTTTTTTTGTGTGGGTTGGTGGATGAAAATAGTAAAAAAAAAAAATTATATAGAGCCGAGGCGCTAAACAATCAAATTAGAGCCCACCTCAAAAATTTCACTATAAGAGGTTGTTTTGACGCTCAAATATCCTGAAATTGGTCATCTCGAAATCAAGATGCATGGACATGAGAAAAAATGGATTTCAAGTTTTGATAATAGTTCAGCTTGTAATGCATTTTTGGATTGTCAATTTTAAAGATTTTCAAGTTTTCATATATCTGCTCGATCTACAATATTTTAGAAGCTTGATGCATCCTCGGCATTCTCCGACAAGGTTTTTAAAGAATGTGTTCGTTAGTCTTCTGAAAATGGGTAGAATACTGGGAAATTGGTCTTACATGAGTAGCACTGTATTTTTCTATTTTCTTGTTCCTAAATTACCAAGTTAAATTTGAGAAGAAGTATTGTAAATTTTTTATTGTTAAGTGGATTTCAACAATGGTGTTCCGTGGTTTTCCATCCCTTCAAGGTTTTTGGGTGAGTCGGTGGGGAGAGGGCCCCTACTTTTAGTAGGAATTGAGCCATTGCAAATCGTCAATTGCTAACCAATTAAGCCTGAGCTCTTTTGCTATCTTGTGAGATTTAAATCTTAATCTTTTAAGAGATGTTTATGTATGTGGTCTTTGTGTGCCCTAATTAAATTACTAGTATATGGGAAATGTGAGCCAAGAGAAACAAACCCTTGAAAGAAAAAGGCGAGAGAAATAAAAACTCTTGAAGCACAAAATCAAGAGAGAGAAAGTTGATGAGAAGGAAAACGAAGAGAGAGAGAGCTTTTTGGAGAAGGAAGGCAAGAGAGAAAAATATATTTGTAAAGAAAAAGCAGATAGAGAGGCCCAAACAAGCAAGACGACTTCTTGGTGTTACTCTTCGGTGTAAGGAGGAAGAGAATACGCACTCGAACGGCTTCGGAACACACAGTTGAATGGCTTCGGCCGACTCAATAACTGGTAAATAGCCTACTAGAGCTCATGCATTTAAGTTTAAGAAGTAGAGAACTTAAGCCAACAGAAACGAAGGAGGTAGTGCGGTGAAGGAGTGAGCCTTAATGGTTACTTCGGTATTGTATCAAATATTATAATTTTCATTGTTTGGTGAAGTTGTTTGTATGTAGAAACTGCTCTTGGAGCGAACCATGTAAATCTTTATGTTCTTATGATATGTGTTTTATGTTTATTTCTCATCCATGTACTATAGTTTGTACCCACATATTTCTTTTTCAACCTATTAAGCACACGATTCTAGGGGTATTCCAACACGAAAAAGTTTATATAGAGCGGAGGCTCTAAATAATCAAATTAGAGCCCACCTCAAAAATTTCACTAGATTAGGTTGTTTTGATGTCCAAATATTTTCAAATTGATCATCTCGACATCAAGATAAATGGACATGAGAAAAAAAAAAAGATTTAAAGTTTTGAAAATAGTGCATCTTATAATGCATTTTTGGACCATCGATTTTCAAGATTTTCAAGTTTGCATAGATATGCTTGATCTACATTATTTTTGAAACTTTAAATTTTATAACTAAAGATGAAAGTCATACTTCGTAACACTATTTGAAGGTGGGCTCTAATTTGATTGTTTAAAGCCGAGGGAAGTGAAGTATAAATCTTTCTTGGCTTTAAAAAGGCTTCGAAAAAAAAAATGGTATCAACCTTTAAGTTAGGTACGAGGTATAGTTCTTAAAGTGTGAAGGAAGAGAAACAAATAGTAGATATTCCGAACGTTTCAGTAATGGAGAGTTTGATGTATGACATGATATGTATACACAGTTGGTGTAGTGACTGTCAACTAAGATATACAATTGGACAATATGTTAATTATCATTGAATACAAGATGTCTTGGAGAATAAAGTGATGCAAATAGAGAAAATTAATATTCATTGCAATCCATCGATATGATGATCAAGACCCTAAGCAAGAGCATTGTAGGGACATGGCCGGTACGGGTGCTATTTGAGCACACCAACATCAGGCATGAGATCCATTAAGCAGGGGAGAACCCTCCTCATGAGTCTAGATGGGAAATCTGGCCCCATGCAGAGTGGGACCACCTTTAGAAAAACAAAATAAAAACAGTAAATATGGAAAAAGGAAAAATATGAAAAGACAAAAAAAAAAAAAAAAAAAAATTAAAGAGAGCAGTTGAGGTATTTTTTTTCTTTCTCTAGGATTTTTGAGGCACTAAAAAATTATAGAGGTCTTCTCTTCCACTACCCTTTGACGCTTCCCCCGTGTTCTTCAACAAGGCGAGGAAAGAAAGTGTTCGCAAGGAGAGAAGAGAGGAAAATTGATCTCACAGATGTAACCCTGTATTATTTTTTTCTATTTTTCTGTTCCCAAATCAACAATTATCATTCTTTTATTGCTTCTCTTTCCTCTCTCTTTCATCTTTACTTGTAGCTGTTTCTTTGTCATGTTCATGGATAATCTCTCATTCACTGTTGATTTCTCTACCTTAAAGTTGTCCTCTCTCTCTCTCGTGCTGGCTTCTTTCTCTGAATTTCAGTAATAAGCAACTGAAATCAACCTTGATCCATTTTAGCACAAATATTTTGTGCAAAAATCTCATACTAAATGACTTTATATGGAAACACACCAGCAGCTACAGATCTAATGCATTAGGAACCCTGATCGAGAACTTCAAATTTTGGTCCATCCTTTTTGATTGGCCTTGCTTAATCCCTACCCTTTGTAAGTAGCTTAGTTTGCAGGCATTACTGTTAAATTGTATAAGATTAAACCAGAATGCATTTTTTCGCATTGAAAATGCGTCGCCCTTGGAATATTTTTTGGGGTTGATTGATTGTGTATGGGATCTGACTGAAACCTCAAGAAATGGAGAAAGGAATTCCTTCATAAAACTTTGCCCCTGTTGCTGTTGCATATCCGGATAAACTTGATCTTGTACCTCCTTCCTCCAAAACAACATTTGTGATGGTTTTAAAATTTATTTAAAATCTAATCACTTCCCCAACAACAAATTGGGTGACAAATAAAACAATACTCCAATTCCTTTCAAATACTAATAACAACAATAATGAAAAAATAATCACATACAGGCATACATACACATGACACAACTCCTCCGAAACGTGGAACAAACAGCCCATAATCTAGAACCCAACAATGAGACAAGTTTACTACAAGAGCTGAGCATATGATCTGATTCAATTATTCCGCTACCGTCATCTCTTCTGCATAATCCTAAAATACCAACATGCAAAAGCCATCCTTAAGCTTCTCCTCGAGTACATTCATGAGCGGGATTTCCCATAGAGATGAGCATACACAACCTTGGTCCTATACACCACAATCATGCTCAAAATTGCTGCAACGATACACAACCCCGACATGATCATAAGGGTAAGGAAAAAGCACACTGCACCATCACATACTAGGCTCTTCTCCGTACTTAGAGAGCTAGAAAACATATGCCATATCACCCTTACCGAACTGGTTTTGGGGTGGTACACCTGAGCTTGCTTCTCTGCTTCATGGTCATAAAGAGTACTAGCTATCAAGCCCGAAAATAGAAGGGAACCAGCTGGGTTTGCCATGGTGATGAAATTGTACAAGGCACCAAAGTTCTTCAATCCAAATAGTTCAGAGGCAGTGGCCGGGACGATAGCCCAGTGAGCCCCATATCCAAGCCCTATTAATACGGTGCCAACATACATGATCCCAGGCCATGCCATGGCTAAGAGGAAGTGACCGAAGGCCATGACCAATTGCGCGATAGCTATAGCTACCGGCCTAGGATATGCGTAATTGCTGTTTGGAAAAAGCAAAGATGATTAGAAACCAGTTTGAGAACTAGTGAGAATATATAATTTCAAGAAAAATCTGATGAGATATTGGAAAAAAAATGACCATAAAAGAAAGAAGAGGGTATTGATTATTGAAGATTGCAATATATTTATATTTATTCCATGAATAATGTCTCAGCTGGATCAACATAATTGAGAATTATGCATTTAGAGGGCCAGATTGCCAATATCTTTGGGTGTTGGTTGGGATTTACGAGCTGAGGATGATCATTTGTTGTTAGGTGTTTCCTAAACTATAAATTCTTAAGTCGCACGTTTCAATCTGTGACTCTCTCTCTCTCTCTCTCTCTCTCTCTCTTCTTCTTACTTACTTACGTACGTAACGTAACCGTAACGTAACGTAACTAACTAACGTAACGTACGTAACTACTACGTACTACTACGTACGTACGTACGTACGTACGTA